CCAAAAGGTATCGGGCTCATATATATATGTATATATGTGGTCATAAGGGGCTCCCATATAGGGTTTTGGGTTCCTATAGTCCGGATTTTCGTATATTGGGGTCTATATTGGGTTTCTTATTTTGGGAAACTTCCAAGTGCAGAATGCACTGGCTGCACCATCCTGTCCCATGTACTCTGGATTTGTGGCAAACGTCCTGTCATTGGTAATGCGTATTCCAAGCTCATTGCTCTCCAAGTGTAGTGCGAAGAAGGAAATTTGATCTGCCTTCTGACGTACAGCCGCCATTTGATGGCGGACGCCGCACGCCAGCGGCCAGGTGCAAAGTGGGAGACCTTGCATTGCTGGATAAGTCCAGCCAATACCGCAAGTGACATACTTGCGACATGCAGGGAACTGCTTGGGGCGTCTGCAAGCATGGCCATGGCTCACATACGCCGCTGGCCGCGACTAATCCTGCGGCCTGAGCAAACGAACGCGCGAGCACAGACAACGAACATAGGATGCGCGCAGTGTTCTTCAGAGAAGACATGCAAACCTGCAAAAGGTACTTTCGAATCATTTTTGCGCGCGGATTCGCAGCGGGCTTCCAGAGACCCCTCGCCCCTGCGTCACATGTCAGCCGGATCTTGCAGCAGCTCTTCAAAGTACCTAGCTGGCTCAAGGCGACTCAATGGACTCAGCAAACAAACTTTTTTCTCGCTTAATGTTTACCAGGCTCTGCCCTCCACCACCACAATTGTCACAGAGGAATTCCATGAAGTTGTATGGACTGATGCAACACAATGAGCCATAACTCAACCACCGTCGTGCCCGAATGGGCAACTGGTTTTATCCCGATCGCATCTCCACGTGACTTGCACTTAGGATGGGCATTTCTCAGGAAGCCAGACATCGCTGGACAAAACAATTCTTCCCGAAGATGCCTCAACAAATGAATTTGAAAGTGCATATTGGGAGCCTCCGAAATGGATGGGCTTGAGGCGAATGCCCTCGTCAAAATGCGCGTTGATCTTGTCCAGCAGCGGTCCATTTAGCAGCATAGGCAGGAAAAGATTGATTGAAAGAGCTGTCGCTACCCATGAGTCATCCATGGATTTGGTGACGTCAAACCAGGTGGCATGCAACTCCGTCAGTCTAGCCTTGAGCAGCTGATCACAGGGACCATTGTGTGTCATGGACGGTTGCAAGATTCCGCTAGCCGTTGTGTTCACCCGCCACAGAAATGTTGATTCCGAGGAATTGTCGATGAGCAGCCGAAAGTCCACAGAGAGTGGAATGCTTAGGTTGACACCATGCGACAGTTCCACAAATGGCCGGCCAGAAGTCTGAATGGTCGCTGACACCGGACAAGGACTCCAGAGTGGACATTCCAAGGCGTATATAGTGGCAAGCCATGGACAGTAGAACGCAAGCTCTAGACTGAAGGTATCCAGGCCAAGCGGACTACTGTCGGGAACGTCCTCTGGATAAAATGTGTGGGTGAGTGTACCCGAGTCATGAAGGATGGCAAATAAACTGTTTGGGACGCTGCGACTGAAAGCCATTGCAAACATGGTTGATGTGGAGTGGTTTTGGAGTATAAGGCCAGGAACGGGGAAAGCTTCTTCTGCTCGGGGAACCTCCTCAGCAAGGACTTGATATGATGCTGCCTTCAGGTCATCAGACTGAAACATGCCAAGCGGTCTAAATGCGAACTGCACGTTGGCGTGATCAGAGGATACAACCTGCAGCCTGCTCGGAAGTGCATGTAGATCGGCATCAAGCTTCTCATCAATCACTTGCTCAAGAATTTCTTCCACGTGCGACTGAGTAAAGTACAGGATGGTGTCCACAAGCCAGCTAGGGACATGCCCGCTTAAATGGCTTATGATTGCGCAGGGCACAGAACTCCAAAAGCCGGGATTCACACAAGATACATCCAGAGTCGGCTGTAGGTGTAGATCAGGAGCAACGAGGCTGCTGACACCAACCTTGATGTGCTTGTCCACCACTGCAATGTTGAAGCTACCCTCGAACAGGCCGGCGGCTTTGACCGAAAGTTGACCGAATGCTTCAGGTGAAGAGACATTTAGGTATGCTTTGGCTTCTAGGTCTGTGAGTTCAATGTTCACCTTGACCCCAGCTTCAGTCCAGACTGGATTGACAAAGCGGACAGTCGGCACGCTCGTGGCAATCAGGTCACTCATCTCCAGTGTGATTCCAAAGGCGCCAACCGCTTGATGTGTCATCAAGGGTTTTTCTACGATCTTGCGGGCCACAAAGTCATTTGATTGTGAAAGTATGAAGTCCAGTCCAGAATAGGTTGCCCAAAGCTCTGCATTAGAACGCATCACACTGAACGGCTCTCGACGATCAGATTTCACTTGCAACAGGGCAGAGTTATCAGTCATCGATTCGCACTCATCTGTCGCCAGCGCGTCTGCACCCAGTCGGAGCAACCCGACAAGAAGAAGCCCTAAGTGCGTCATGCGCGGGAAACAATAAGTGAATGCCATGGCAGGCTTTTCTTGTGGCCGTCAGGAAGAGTTAGGATTAGCATAACGTTTCGTCATACCATTTGCAACAATAAACCGATATGCAAAGACTGACCCAACAAACTCCTGTGATTCAGTGGAGTGTGCATAGCTAGGCCGCCAACCCTCAAGTTCTTGAACAGGGTGCAACAGCACGATGCGCCCACAGGTAAAGACTGACCCTCGGATTCCTCAGCGTTGGGACTCAGTCCCTGGGCCGTCTGCAGCCCACAATTTGTTGGTGGGTGCCACACCTAAACTACACATGCTGAGGTTGGGTGGCGGTTAGGGCGTGGAAGTCTTGTCACGTCTCTTCCACCCGAGGGCACTGGCTTCTTTGCGCTTCCTCCTGTCAGGAAACTGCCCAAAAAGAAACTCCAAGTTTTAAGCTCGTGCAGGCAAATCCGCAGAGACAGGCCTTTGACTGGTTCTTGCTGAGCTGCTGCAGCTCCTTGAAGCTGTTCACCTTTTGCCTCCTGAACTGTGCGCGAGAAATGTGGGGTCTGCACATTTAGGGCTGCTTATGGGGAACCTCAAAAATGATTTTCGGGGTTCCCCATAAACAAGCTTTCAGTATTTTGGGGGTCTACATGGAGTCCCCCTTTTGTTGGAACTACCATGTCTGTCTGAGGAATGCAAGCGGCATCTGAGACATCCAGACATCTCAGTACCTGAGGAAAATAAAGGCGCGCACTTTGCTGCTGCTTCCAGCATTCGCGTGTCCAGCAGAGATGCGGGGTCGATCTGAGCAATGTGCAAAGGTGACAAAATGAGCACAACTGAAAAAGTACAAGGTCGTAGTTTGCATGGGAACCTCGTGCAACCCGAAACCGCTTCTTCAAAGTACGAATAATGGCTCGAACAGCAGCCGCGTATAGAGGGCTGATTAATGTTTTTAAGGCAGTGGGGCTTTTGTGTAGCTCTTTGCTCAGCTTAGGTAAAGTTGCTGGTCAACAAAATCCCCCATGCACAGTACTACCCTGCTTGCAGACTCATTCGTGCTTCAGTCTTAATGAACTTTAGGCAGCATTGCATTCCGCTTCGAATGTTCAACCATGCCCTGTCGCACCACTGCAGGTTTTTCTGGAGCTTCTTGAGGCGGTTCAGGAGTCGAACCTCGCAGGCAGCTGGCACTGCCTGAACCAAACATTGAGTGTACAAAGCACCCTCGGATTCCTGAAGCTGGCTCATCTTTCTTTGCCTGCCTGGACGACAAGACTCCTACCGGCTTTGCAGAACTTGGATAGAACCAGCCTGCGCCGACCGCGAGGCTCCTCAAAGCACAAGGAAGCTAGACCCTGCTCGTAGCTGTGCATCGCAACCCTTGCCACAATCATGTTGCCCGCTGAAAAGCACACAACCAGCTCCTGCTTCTCCTTCTCTGCGGGCTCCTGTACTGGGACAGGGGCCAGCTGCAAGCACTGCACAAATCATCCGTCTCGCTCCTCCTGGAGTGGGCAAGATTCGCTCCGGGTGTTCAACCTGAAGGTGCAAGGCGACCAGCCCGAGTATTTGCAAGGCATTACCTGAACCCATTTTGTTGGCCTGATGCGCCCATGGCTGACTCGAACACTCTTTCATGCGCAAGCCATGGATTGATCAAACAGGCTACAACTGCAAAGCCTTGACTGTGTGCCGCGCTTGCAACAACGGAACCCCCATCGTTGATCCTCGGAAGAATACCTGGGTGCAACGCATGGTTAGCCTTTCACTCTGTGAAACTTCACCGAGCCGCCAGGAGCCCCAAACTTCGCTGTGACCATTTTCCAGAACATCTTCAGGATACCTCGCAAAGAAGGAGGAATCCCTCCACGAGGCGTTGCTTATCGCCGCACCATGCTAAAAGTATCAACGAGCACCAAAGCACGCCGCATTTTCGCTCAGGCAAAGTCGAGTACACCCCAAAATACGAAGCAACGGCCTGGACTTTGCAAGCTTCCGATCTGCTCCTTGCCGTCGAGCACTTTTGCCATTGGCACACCATGTGAAATGCAAAAATACTCTGGTCATTCAAACTCATCAATATCATGGTGTGCGAATTGCTACTGAAAGCAACGTGGCCCAGCCTGTTTGTCTTCGCGTCGGACCATTCTCCTTCAATTGAATGCTCTGCATCCCCAAGCAGACAGGATGCTTCGGCAAAATCCAACCTCGTCACTCTCATCTTTGTTGGCCTTCCAAAATCAAACTGGTTCTGAAGTCGCAACGAATCTGGACACAACCGCTCACATGTCTGACAATACTGCACGATGGTTACCATCAACGTGCGGCAGGGCTGATGGCAGGATTGCGGGAGGGGGAGGTCCCAGTCAGCATCGACTAGCCAGTCCAACGCGCACCCCGCTGATTTAAGGTTTGCGTTTTAGTGTTGATGGCTTGGGAGTTAACAGCTCAGGCTAAACTGCTGGGTTTAAAGTTGATGGTGATTCGTTGGTGGCTTATGGTGCAGGAATTAGGTTTAGGTTTTCACGCATTGGGTTGTAGGTCTTTTTGCGATAAAGTCCAAAGTTGAAAATTTAGGGTTGGCGGTCCTCACATGTCGAATTGGACACGTCTGGGCTGAGAGCTTAAAGTTAAGGTTCGACGTCTGTTTGACAAACAGACAAACATTAGTGACAAGGAAAAACAAGGTTTGAGGTTTAGCGTCTTAAAACTTAGGAGTTCTTTTGTTGTGGGAACGACGAAGGATGTAGGATCTTACTCAGAGTTTAAGCTGGACGTCTGTCGACGGGTACAAGGTGTAGACTCGGAGGTCCTTAGACGTCTCACGCAACCAATCTGGAGTTGGGGGTTTAGATTTTGGGGTCAACTTGAAAGCTGCCTGGGGACTAAGAGGGTGCACAATTTGAAATTTTAAGGTTTTCAGCTCTAGGAGTTTGAATCTTTTGTGGGGTAGAAGCTTCACGGTCTCACGGCTGAAAGCTCAAGGCTTGGGCTCAAGGTATTTCAGGGGAACTGTCAAGGACGAATGGGTACAGAGCTTAAACTTCAGGAGGCTTTAGGCAGATGGGCGGCTTAGTGCCAGAAGGTTTAGTAGAGGGTGTGAAGTAGCGGGTGTAGGGGTCAGGGATTTGGGCTTTGAAATGCGTTCAAAGAGTTAAAGTTGAACTTAGAATCACGCGGATGAGAGCTTAGGGTCGAAAGGTCAAAGGTCCGAGCACCCAATCTAAAGCCAGGGAGTGCACCCGCAATCTCCTTCGCAAGCCACCACCAAGCCAAACTAATCTACCCGCGTCTGCGCGTATATCGAATTCGCCACCCTTTGCCGAGCCGAGTCAGGCTGTGCAAGCAGTCGAAATAGCCTCAGACACATGACATATGGGTGGGGGTTTGTGGCATGGAGTTGGAGGTTGGCACTAGGCCTTTAGGAGGCAAGGTTTGAGCAGGGGGCCGTTAAGTGCGACACCAACCAAGCACAAAGCCGGAAACAAGTCGAAGAAATGAAGTAAACACGAAAAAACAGCGTGGCTGTGGCAAGTCACCGCTGGTCTCCCGGAGTCTCACTGCCCGCCACCAGTGGTTCAGGATCCTTGCCATGTGTCGCCTTTCCCGATTGCGAGCCGCCTGCGGAGAGCTGGCTCCGAAGCGCTTGCTCCTGAAGTGGTCTAAAATGCAGTTTTCCCTGCGGGCCGCCCCATGTGTGAAGAAAAAATAGGGCTAGTCTTACATAGCAGATTTCTATTAGAATTGTGGGCTTTGCAGAAGGTTTCTACCAGGGAGCTTGTTCTGCCATTCCCTTTTTAGTCATACACGGCACTACAACACTTCCCGAAGCTCATCCATTCCTTCAAGATATGTAAGTCGAGGTGCTCCAAAAAATCATGATTCCTAGCGCCACAGTGGTGATTAGTCGGATTTCCCTGCGTGCCGCCTCACGTTGTAATAGAAAAAGTGATCCTCACCATTCCATTTTGCTAGTTGCTTTTAAAGTACTAACCCGCCTATTTTGGATGTAGCTCATGTGCTCGCAGAGTCAAATTTGACGTGCACCACGATGAGCCAAGCGACATACGAGGCCATTGCTTCCAGGTGTAACGCGCGGTCGGGGCTGCGCACGGCCTGCGCATCGAAGGATCCAAGGTGGGAACCCAACATAGGCGGGTACATGGCCAACTTCCAACCAAGCAAAACGGCCAAAGCGGAGTTGACTACTTTGCAGGCCACAAGACCAGGGGCCCAAGAAACGGAATGGGGACATGGTACTTCCACCGGAGTTAACACACCCCACTCGAAGAGAATACACGTCATCTACTGCGGACGGTGGCATGGGAAGATCAAAGGCATCAGGAATTACATGCTGCCCAAGCCTCTCGGATGGTTGAAAGGCTGCTTTGAAAGCGGCCTGTCGGCACCTGCCAAGCAAAAACAAATTCAAAGAAACCATTTCGATGTCATGCTGTGTGTTTGTGAAGTCAAGCCTCTGCCGAACTAAGGCCCTCAGGCATGGCTGGTCCTAGACACACTGGTTTAGGGGTTGTAAGTTTAGTGGGTTGCTGTTAAGGAACATAGATGAAGTTACCATAACACGGACATGTAGTACATAATATGGCTGCCCCACATATACAACCCCGTGAGAGGTCTGAGATTGGACCTCGCACGGGTAGAGATGTATCTACTTAGGATGAGAGAAGACTTCCAGCACAAGAACTCTTACAGTACCACAGCACCACCAAGACCATCATCACTACAACCACCAGAAACATTGCCACTTATGACGGCAGAGACAATTGCAATACTCCGAAGGATCATTGAAATACATGCATGCCAAGTGCGACTGTCAGCCTGCATATCCAGGCAACGTCGCGACCAGTGCTTCTACGCAAGCTGACGGCTCAAGCCAATCAAGCAATCCACACAGCCTGAGATGCAGGACATGC